TAGGCAGATCACTTTCCCCCAGATGATCCACATATCCCCTTAAGAAAAAGCATCAGAAAGCATCATATTTGTGCATAGACTTCCCACCTCCACTGAGAAACATCAGTAAGATTTGGCCACTGAGTAACTTGTAGTCAATCACCTCAGTTAATCACCTGGATTGCCTGCCAAGTAAATAGTCTTACTCATCCTACTGATACTGAGACATCCATCATTTGAATTGTCCAGGACTGTGGAGGTGGAATACCTCAGACTGTCACAGGAACTTAAACAACTATATGAGGGCAGAAGAAAAAAATGAAAGGACAGCATGGAGGAAAGGTCATAACTTTATTACCTTGCCCAAAGCAGGTGTCGTAGTTAGAGTTTGGTCCTGTCATTGATGCAAAATAAAACAGAAGATGCTTCATGTAGTTAAGGAATAAATCACTACAAAACTACTGACACTGCTATGGGTGGGTATTTTAAGACCCACAGCAGCCACCACCCATGAAAATGCAGGCTCTGACAGCTGGTATGTCACAGACACCATGTGTTAGTCCATTCTATTTCCATGCTGAATGCAGGTAATCACTCTGTAGTGTCATGCCACAAAAGACCCATCAACAATTGTGATACCAGATGAGATCCATGACCATAGAGCAATCAAACAGAATGTAATTCAAGTCCAGAAATAAGCCCTGTTCTTGAAAGCATTTTCACAGCATACAACAAACCAGGAACAGACAATTCGGGCAAAATTGGGGTGTCAGAAAAATAGAATTAGTTCTAAATATTTAGAAATATTTTTGCAGTTGTCCTGATGAAGGCTTGGGATATATCCTTTACAGGACAAGTGATTAAAATGTGAAAAAATTTGATAATGCATAAATTAAATTATAAATTATACATTAGCTACACTCATTTTTCATAGCTAGAAATTAAAATTTTCCAAAACTCTGATGTCTGTCTGCTGAGGCAACTGTGTGAATGGAGTATATTGAAGAAGTAAGAAAATATCTCAAGAATGGCCATTTATTTGTTTTAAAAAAACCTATTTTAAGGGCCATCAAAGATAGACAATAAAACATGAAACTGTTAAAAATATTCATTCCTTTTGGCACAGACCCCTCTCAGCATTCTTTCTACACTTTGCAAGATGACTTTTTCCATTTCTACCATTTGTGTGAGCTAGAGGCTATAGCATACAATGTTTCTTTAAAAAACAAAGGGAAACTAATTTATTCTAACCCAAAGAACACAGTAGCTTTAGTGCTAGAAGGAATGGCTACGATTTCTGCTCTGCATTAGAAGTGCCAGAGTAATTTATAAAAGCCTGGGAGGGTTATTTGTTTTAAAAGATCCCTCCTTCTGGTTCCTCTGATTCTTCCTCCAATGCCTGTTTAGTAATTTTTATATTGGCATAATATGACATATCTATGGCAAACTGGATTGTTGCACTCATAATATTTTTAAAATTTGCATTAACAGAGATTACTTGGAAAAGATTTCTATTGACTAGTTTAAATCTCAGTTGTGCCCCTGTTGTTATAATTTATGACACGGGACCAATTTGTGTCACTTTATAAAGAGAAATTTATTAATTTAGCAAGCAAGCAATACGGGCAAATGCAGCACTAGGCGGGTGGGGAGCCTCTGCTTCCCTCAATGGCTCGCACCGCACCTCCGGTCTTTCAGTTCTTATACCACTTCAGTTCCGGACTTCATGACATTCTCAACGTGCTCTGCATCTGCGCAGCGTGTTGCTAGGGGTAAGCATTTTACCCATGACATAACTTAGTCAATTGTTTCTTAATTTCCCCATTCATCCTTTCCACCCTTCCAGAACTTTGTGGGTGCCATGGGGTGTGATGTTTCCACTGTATTCCCGGAGTATTAAAAATGTCCTTTGTCACCTTCGAGGTGAAGTGAGGGCCCCGGTCTGAGTCTACCGCCTCCAATATACCATATCTGGGGATAACCTCTTCCAGTATTATTTTTACTACAACGTGTGCAGTTGCCCTTGCCGTGGGGAAGGCTTCCACATAGTGGGTGAGGTGATCCACTATGACTAGCAAGTACTTATACCTTCCTACTTTAGATAACTCTGTGAAATCCACCTGTACGTGAGAAAAGGGTCTGTGAACCAGCTGTGACCACCCATCACTCTCTCTCTTTGCTGCTGCTTATTTACCTTTAAGCAGGTTAGACAGCGACTGGTTACCTGCTTGGCCAGGTTATATACCCCTATACACATATATTAAATAGCAAATTGGTCTATTAGTGCTTGAGTTCCCCAGTGCGTTTTGCCGTGCATTGCCTGTAATACTCTCAATGCCATCGCTTTTGGCAACACCTCCTGACCGTCAGGTAATATCCATTTACCTTCCTCTTTTTCCTGTACCCCCATTCAGTCCAATTTTTCTTTTTCTTGAACAGTAAATGTTCAAATGAATTGAAAAGCAATATTTCTTCTCAGGGCTTTCACAAAAACATTCCAAACCACCCCCACAGGTGGTACAATTCTCCCGTTGCATGCCCATCAGTTTATATTTTAAAGTTAGTAGTGCCACTCTTTTTGCCTCCTGGTCAGCTAGATTATTTCCTCTGATTGTGTTTCCCATGCCCTTCTGGTGTCCCCGTATGTACACTACAGCTATCTCTTTTGGACCCCTTATTGCCTGCAAAATCTGTTTTATCATGCAACAGTCCTTTACCCTGTGAATTGATTAAACCTCTTTCCTCCCAAATTTTCCCGAAACTGTGCACGACATTGTAGGCATATTTTGAGTCAGTGTAAATTGTCCCCGCCTTTCCCTCTAATAATCTTAGAGCCCTTAATACTGCATACAATTCACATGCCTGGGTGGACCAGCTGGGGCTCAGGGGACCAGATTCCTTTACCTGTAGGGTTTTCCCATCAATTATAGCATATCCTGACCTTCTTTTCCCTTCAATACCCTGTATAATCCATCCACAAACAGCTTATCCCCTGTTTCCAGTTCTTCCCCCTCCAGGTCTGGTCTAATCTTTATTTGTTCTTCTATTTGCTGGAGGCAATCATGTGCTAATTCCGAGCGAGGCTCACCATACAGAAACTGTGCAGGATTTTGGATGGCAGTGGTCTCAAGTGTTAATTTAAGGGATGAAATTAGGATTCCTTCATACTTCAAAAGCCTAGCATCTGTAATCCATTTTTCTGCTTTCTGCTGCAATACTCCCCTTATATTATGTGGGGACATTACCCTTAACTCGCTTCCAAAGGTAATCTTACCAGTTTCTTCTACTAGCAAAGCAGCTGCCACTATTGCCTGTAAACAGGTGAGCAACCCATGACTAACAGGATACAGAAGCTTTGATAAGTAGGCTACTGGTTTCTTACTCGCAGCCCAATCTTGAGCCAAAACTTCATATGCCGTCCCCTCATCTACATTAACAAACAGATAAAAAGGTCTCTTCAGATCAAGAAGGCTAAGTACAGGTGCTCAATTCTCTTTTAAGGGCCTCTAATTGTTCCTCATCTTCTTGTGACTATTTGAGTAATCCCTCCTTTGTCAATTTATCATATCATCTTTCCACTGAAATTTTCTATCCACTGCCTGCAGTACCCAAATAGTCCCAATAATTGCCTTACTTGCCTTTTAGTCCTTGGGACTGGGATTGAGAGAATCCACTTAACTCTATCCGGATCTAGTTTCTTAGTTCCCTTACTCAACCTGTGGCCCAAGTACTTTACCTCTTTTTCTACAAACTGCAACTTGGATTTAGACACTTCCAATCCCTTTATACTCAAAAAGTTCAGTAATCTTATGCTCTCATCTCACTGCCTCTTCCTCTCGTCCTGCACCTTAAAGGCTTTTTGCACATTCTGTCCCCTAGGGACGGCTCTCTTAATGCCCTGTATGATTATGTTCCGCAGGTCGACCATATGGGTCCTATGCTGTGGGTCTTGGTTATTCCATTGGGGATTCTGCAGGGGCCATTTAGTGTCTGCCAATGGTCCCTGTTGATGTTTATTATCCCATGTTCTCATCCCCATTTCCCTTATCATTCTCCTTTCCTCTTTAAAATCCCCCAAACTCCGGGTCAAATCCCCCCAGATTTGGGTCAGAACTTCCTAATTTTGGGTCCATACCCCCCAGATTTGGGTCACAACCCCCCCCCCCAGATTTGGGTCCAAATCCCCCAAATTTGGGTCAAAACCTCCAAATTTCAGGTCCAAGCCTTTAAATTCTGCCTCCAAACCCCCAAATTTGGGTCAGAACCCCCCAAGTTCGGCTCAAAACCTCCAAATTTCAGGTCCAAACCTCCAAACCCCCCCAAATTTGGGTCAGAACCACCCAGATTCGGCTCAGAACCTCCTGGATTTGGGTCAGAACCCCCTAAAATCTCCTTGAAACTCCCCAAATTTGGGTCCAAACTCTCCGAAAACCTCCTTAAAGTAGTGGATCATCTTTGCTTTATCTTTTCCCTTTGCCCTACTGGGAAAGGCATGCCAATTATTTATCATTACTCCTAGAGGACTATCCTCAGGGATCTAGGGAAGCTTTGCAGGGGTTTGCCCACCCATGGGACCAGAGGGCTTGCTTTTCCTCTGTCCCATCTTCCTGAGTGCACTCAATTTTTCACACACACGCTCCCCTGGTTCGTGGCCCAAGCCCTCTTGGGTATTGGGAACCGCACTACTGAGGGTTCGCACTCACTTGGCCTCTATGAGACCTCTCATACACAACACTCCACAACACTCCAGGATAACCACCCCAAACCGAGCGGATTACCGGCCTATACTTACGCATCCTGCGTTTTCGCTAGGATCTTTGTGCACAAAGTTTACAGGGGTAACCGGTTCTCCTTTGCCCGCTGCTTAATTTAGGTTCGTCGGTAGAGAGACCGGGAGGTCTGGGACAATTGGGCTGCCAAAAAAGGCGGGGCGCCTCCCGAGGGTCCCAGAACAACCGGGCTATTTCTCCATCCGAGTCACGGCACCAAATTGTTATAATTTATGACACGGGACCAATTTGTGTCACTTTATAAAGAGAATTTTATTAATTTAGCAAGCAAGCAGTACGGGCAAATGCAGCGCTGGGCGGCCAGGGAGCCTCTGCTTCCCTCAATGGCTCGCACCGCACCTCCCAGTCTTTCAGTTCTCATACCCCTTCAGTTCCGGACTTCGTGACATTCTCGATGTGCTCTGCATCTGCGCGGCGTGTTGCTAGGGGTCTTTTTTCTGCTGTCCGGTGGTCGTTTGAGGAAAGCTCCTATTCTTCTTCCTCCGAGGTAGCGTTAACCCTGCAATAACTTCTCTAAATATGGTAATGCAACCTTCAAAGATCTCTCAATTCCACTATCTACTAATAGCAGTACATCCTGCCTTCCTGCCCCACTTTTTCTTGTGTCTTACACAATCCCTGGGGCTTTTCCTGATGAACAAAAACTATGCTGCTGTCTTTCACACTGTGATCATCCAGAGGACAAGGGAATAGTGTCCTGATGTTTCTATCCAGTTTTCAGAGAAGACAAAGATGGATGAAAAACCTGCTCTGAATCTGTGCAGCAGGGTGCATGAAAATAAACATCCCTCACCTATTTCATGGAGAAAATGGACTTAATCTGTTTATTAGCATGTAGTAATGCTGTTCAGTCAAATGTCTTTTTGTTAGGCTAAGTTTGAATTCTAATGTCTGCTGCCTGGCAGTAACTTGAACCCAAGATTATTATGCCCTTTAACAGTCTGTAAAAATGGCATGAACCTGGGTCCACACTTGTGGCTGCACCTTAGCAAAGCTGAGCAGCTGGTGTTGCTGAAATGCAGCTCCAAAGAAGAACAGACTTTACAAACCTGCCTTCCTTGTTCTTCTCACTAGGCTACTTCACACAAAGGTGTGAAGGCAGGAAAAAGACACTGATGCTGACAATCTCTCAGACCTTCATATACTGGTAAAAGCTATATACTTCGGCTGGTAAAGACTTTCTGGCCTCACAAAAAAAAAAAAAAAGGTATATATATAGGGAAATATTGGACGCAGTAGATGCAAAACTACTACTTTATTTTTGGTTTCAGACTTGAGGCATCCTCACCAAAACAGTCTGTTTAATTTTCTCAGAGCCTGTGCCAAGGGAGTGTACTGTATTTAAATGAAGTTCAATTCATTTTCTTCATGTTTCTCTTCCTACTCCAAACTTCATTCTTCACTATTTACTTCTTCTGGCCCAATTCTCCCTGCTCAACCAGTCATACAAACCCACCTCTCTTAACCCCAGTCCTAGTTTCTGTGCTGAAAAATCATTGAATCTCTTTGTCATCCCAGCCCCAGTACCCCTTGCCCAGGAAATCCCTTTCATCTTTCTTGTCACAGTTCTCAAAACCCCATCTTTCAACCTTGTCCTGACTTTCCAGGCAGCTTCCATATAATTCAGGTCATTTCCTCCTTCACACTGCCAGAGTGATAAACACCTCTTAGCTTTGACAAATCTTGGCCTTGTCAGACTACAAGCTCCAAATAATCTGAGCATGTCCCTTTTCTCCCTGGTTACAGAATTAGAGATGTTCAAAGACATGTAATGCAGCTAAATTTAGGTGAAACTTACTGGGAGATCAGGAAGACACATCCTTGTCCCAAAGGTGACCTCCTGACAAGGCTCATGCTTTCACTCTGAAGGCTTAGAGGAGATGAAGAGCAATGGACCATTTTCAAAGGAAAGGTCACATGGAGTTTAACATGAGCAAAATTACATTTCCTCCAGCTTTATTTACAGAACCAGATGAACCATTTCAACTAACATTTTCAAAGCCCAGCATGGGACGTTTCAGCATGAATAGCTAAACTGAAAAAATTACAAAAAACTGAGGGTAGGTTACTTTCCTGGGGAACCCTGGGGGAAGAGGAGCCACACACCAACTCTGCCAGAGAACTTTTCCCCTCTAAACTAACACTGGCAGCTGAGGGGCAGCCAGGCTGCAGTCCAAATAATTAGTGTGTTTCTTTTTAATAAGAGTTTGGACCAGCTTCAAGCCTAGTGCTGAAATTAGATATTTTACTAGCTTTTTAATTTTTCAGTTCAAAGTCTAGAAGTTTTGAGAAACCACATAAACCACTACTGAAGGTTTCCATCTGGACCACGGTTCTGAGTTCAAGACATCCAACAGAAGCTGTTTTGCATTCTGCAGGAAGCCAGATGAGCACCGCTCAAAGAGGCAAAAGTGTTGCACTTCTCATCAGTTTCATGCCGCTAATAACAAAAATACAGTTCTACTTTTTACAAAAGCCAAGGGAAGGATGAATGCCTAAACACATTGTTTGGCTATAATCACAGTGCGTGGTAGTTTAGCTGTGCCTTTTCTAAGAGACCCCTCTCTAGAGGACACAAATGATTCCAAAGACATAAACATGCCAGCCTGACTGATGTGATTCATTGCTATCTTTCTTTGATAAGATCACCATATGTTATTGCAGAGCAGAAGAAGCGCCAGTGCCTGAGCCTGAATTTGATGGTTCAAGAATCACCTATGTTTTCATTCAGGAAATTTATAGTCTTTGCTAATCCTAAACTAGAAGACACATCAGTCACATGTTGCAACCTTTCCAGCAAACTCAGCTCCACATGCACTACTTTATTTTTTTCCAGTGTAGTTTTTCCAGTATTTTCTGGTTCTGTCATTTTGGAAGTAGACATAAGAAAAAGGTTAACAGTCAACTCAGGCAATCTGCATCAATAAGTTAAGTTCAAATTTTCTTTAAATAACTACCTGTCTTAGAGTACCAACTCAGATCACTTAAGACTATCTACTTAAAAACATTGGGCTTAGAAAAATTACCTTTATCAACTTTCCACCAGTGTCCCCTAGAGAAGGGTTTCTACATTCAAACATTCAAGCATTCAAAAGGCAACACTGCTTCAGTAAGTGCTCTACCTTTTAAGTCATTCCATTTTACTTTTCTCATCAAATATGTTAACATGTCTTTAAACCAATGCAGAGGCCCTCCTGAATTTTTTATACATTTTTAATATGTTGTTTTTTCTTTTACTTTTACTTCCAGTTTCTGATTATGTTTCAGGGTCAAGAAAGATCACATGAGGAAAATAATATTTTAAAGAGAGAGATAGGTGAGGTCATAATCCACCAACCTGATAGGTTGATATGCTCAATCACTCGCTTACTTTTTGATATTTATAAGTATTTAATCTTTTCTTTTTCACTAGCAGTTAATCACTTAGTGCAAATGATGCTGGATGCTCATCAGTTACCAATATATTGCTTTATTTCTTGGTAGCAAATTAAGGCTTTATAGTGAGATTTGTACAGTACAGGCCAAATTTAAACATTAGAAACTTTAAAAACCACGTAGCACTACACATTCAATTCAACATAGCCAGAAAAGTAGCTTTATTTTTTTAATAAACAATTAAATGTTACTAGTGAGGCCTTGTATTTCATGAGTGCAAATGGCTCAAAATCCCAACATCCTCAGGGCTCAACATTTAAATTTCTTGAGGCCATTTTTAGATAAATGGTAAACAGAGAGTATAGCTGGCTCAGATAAAATATACTGTATTACTTGCTGGAGAAGAATCTCTTATTTTAGAAATATGGAAAGGAAAGCCAAAATAAAGTTAACTGTCCAAGGTTATATTAATATTAGTCACTGACGAGTAACAGTAGCAATGACAAATTCATTTTCCATGGCCCTCTTTGCCTTAGTATAACTTAATTTATAATTCATAGCTGATGCCATCCTGCATATTAAAAAATCCAAAATTGGAGGAACATACATAAGTTACAGGAATTTTTGCAGCAGTAGGACAAGTTCCCTCTCCAGAGACATGTCCAAACCATTGCCCTATTTTTTTTTTTTTTAATTGAGAGAGCATTGTTGTAAGTATTTCCTCAGCAGTTATGTGTTTGTTTTTCTTGGGCATATTGATTTTCACTTCATACCACTGATTTTATTAGTGTTGTCTGGAGATGATGGAACTACTGCTTATGAAAGCCAGACACAGTGCTTCCCTTCTTATGAGACACTTACAGTGTTTGAACTGAACATATGAATTCACCTGTCAGTCAGGCACAGGGGTTCTGCCTGAAAATATCATCACCCCTCATGTGTCTGGCTTTCAGATCTGAGCATTACATGTGAAAATGCAGTGGAACAGCAGCCAGAAAATGATGAAGAAAGTAACCATGAATCAACCACACACTTTGGGGAAGAAGCCAATGAGATGGGGGACTTCCAAAATGCTCCAGCTTATGCAAGAGCAAGAGTGATCATGAGAGTAACAGGAGCTCCCAGTGTCACAGGGCAACTCTGCTGTTTAATTCTTTGTTGAATGCAGCTGCACCTCCAATCTAAGGGAACACAAAGAGCCAAAGTCTCAAAAAATCTAAATCTAATGTGAATAATATGCCAAGCCCCTGTGTCCCCAGGGGTGTTATCTAACATCAGGCTAATGTCTTTGAAGTCTTGAGATCAGCCATCTATCCTTTGAACTGGAAGGTCACAGAAAAGAGTCAGGTTTCCAAGTGTATTAAGGCACATACTAACTTGACCTAAACGCAAGTCCCTGGTTTCTCAGGGAACATCACTGCAGTGGTGCCACAGCTGCTGAAAAGGTACAGCAAAGGGACAAAGTCAGACTTCCTGGTGGCAGCCACGCAGCACAGCAATTGGGACTGCCCTGTGTAAGCTGCTCCACAATGCCTCAGAGCCTCTCTACTGTCTTACAGTACTACCTCAGCTTGTTGCAGAATACAGCAGCTTCTCAGGCTGGTTTGCTGGCTTTTACTTTTGCCAGGCCACCAGTTTGTTCTCCTTCACTCAGCTCAATACATCACTGCTTGTCAGAGCCAGAAGTCCCTGTCTACTACCAGAGGATGGTACTACACACATTGGAGAGGACAAATTTAGATATAAAGGCAAGTAGCAATGATGCATAAGTGACCTGGAGGTGGGCTTCCCAAGAGAATCCATGCATGGGCACAGTCTCCAGATTCACTCTGCAGAAATGCTCAGCAATGGCCAGCAGGTCTTACTATGTTTCAAATGAGTATATTTAAGAACATTACCCAGTATTTCCTGAGGAATTACAATGGATGACTATCAGCCATATTGGAAAAAGTTGGGAAACACAGACACAATATTGCATAGTCAGCTTCATGAGCACAGCTAGAATTCAGATGTATTTGACACAGCTTAGTAGCATTTCCGAAGTAGGGATTATGTACTATTTCCTTTGGAGGCAACTACTGTAGCCTGGGACAAGATCATGGCTCTTATGGAAATGACACCCCACCAGCAACGCTGAGCACTCATTGCTTTTGCATTAAAACAGCCTCTCCACAGAGACTCACGGCACCTTAAAAAGTGATCATACAAAAAGAAAACAAAATAGTCTTCTAGAAAACCCCTCACCCATTAGGTACAAGAAAAATGACTCCCGTGAGTGACAAAAAAGACAGCATTACTGAATATGGGAGCGTGTGCTTATACATCAGTGTTTTTAATACTGCATTTCAATAACAGGCATGGGGTATCCCTTCAGAAGAAAGCAGGGTTGGTGTGCTCTATAATACAGCGCTTGCAATGTCGTTTAACAAATCGCAGAGCATCCACAGAGACTTCACAGTCCTGCACGTTCAACATCTGTAGGTCAAAACAGTTGGCAGCTACAATCTGCAGGCCATGCCCAGTGATGCTCTCACAGGATTTCAGGCTCAGGCGCTTTAGGTTGAAGCAGTTGAGGGCTAGAAACTCCAGGCCGGTGTCTGAGACCAGGGGGCACTTGCCGATGTCTAGTGATTTGAGTTTTGTGCAATTTTTGGCGAGGTACTCCACGCCATGGTCCGTGATGCCCTCGCAGCCCCGCGCATTGAGGTAGCGCAGCTTGCTGCAGTATTTGGCTATGTATCGGATGCCCACATCCGTGATGCGGCCGCAGTGAGCGATGCTCAGGTATCGGAGATGCGACTCCAGCTTGGCGATCTCCCGTATGCCAAAGTCGCTGACGAAGCGGCAGTCGCTCAAGCTCAGTTCCTTGATGGATGTGCAGTAAATCATCAGGTAGCGCAGACCCTCGTCAGTGATGCGGACGCAGCGGCGCAGGTACAGGTGGGTCAGCTGAGTGCAGTGGGCGGCAATGGTGTGCAGTCCTTCGTCCTCCAGGACGAAGCAGTCTGTCATGTCCAAGTAGCGGATGGAGATTTGCTTCCCATGCAAGGGAGACAGCTTGATGGAGGCTTCACGAGTCAAACTGATGCATGTTACTTTGGAGCAGCCTAAGTGGAAAAACACAGTGAAGTTTAAGCAAGCAGTAAAAACAAAGCACGCAGAAAGGCAGGTGTGGAATGGTGTGCCAGATGTGATGAAGGTATCTTCATGTTGCAAGAGTGGACTCACTCTGACCGACTGCTCTGATTTGCTGTGCTTAGTCCCCACACCAGATGAAACAATGAACTCCACTGGAGTCAGTGAGGTTACTTTGAGATTGTGAGCCCTGGAAAGCAACTGAATGACTTTGTCCATATCCCATATGTAAAATTGTGGTCCTGGGTCCATCTGGGGACAGCCTGTGATCTGTTACTGCACTATGAACCCAGTGACAGTTAGAGAAAAGGATACTATGTGACAACCAGTACAGTTTTTTGATCAGTTTCATTGCTGACTGGCTGAATTTGCAAACCAATATCAGAGGCTCTTTCGCCATTCAAATTTATTATAGAAAACACAACCCCACTCCCTTTCCCCTCCTCTCCTGCCCCAAGCATTTGGAGAACAGATGTGAATCCAGCCCCAAGCCTGCAATATGGCCCAACTGTGTACTTGCAGAAGGGTGGAGATTTGGAAAACCTAAGGAGAATGGAGAAAATTGGTAGGAGCCAACAGACTGATAAGGGCATGTGAGGACACAGACAAAGAAAAGGATTGTGTCCAATGAAAAAGTCTGGCCATGAATGGAGGTAGCTAGACTGGAGGAGAAAAACCAGATCTTGCAAGGAAAGACAAAGAACTAGATTAAAGGGAAAAATACACACAGACTTTCCCCCTTTTTAACCTCCACTCCATAGTGGAGAGTGAAAGCTTTTTTTTGGAAAGTGTGGTTTCTGCTGCACTGCAAACTGGCAGTCTTAGGCTTCTTAGGGAAATTCTTAAACTGTGCCAGGTTCAGCTGGGCTCTTTGCATTAGCATAGCTAGAAACAGCTGCAAGAAATGAGAGTCTACATATTAGTGATTAAGGCCCAACAGTTTTAGCCATAAATGGCTACTCAGAGAATTTCTGCAGGTTATGCTCAAAGAGGTGCCCCCAGGTAGAAATAAAAAGACCTTTTCTGGCCAAGCAGTATGAAGTGACAAAGCAGTATGAAGTATAAAAAGCGATGACCTTAGAGCTCCATGTATCAGAAACTCTGCAAAACACTGTAGTGTAGAATTAAAGAGCATGATGATGTATGGAGACTGCCTCAAAAGCTTACATTACCCAAAGCTATACCACTTGCTATTAGAGGTTGTCATCCAGAGGCTTAGTGGAAGGTATGAATATGCTTCAGTTTTTAAAAGCAAAAACATCACTTGAGATAACCGTGTAGATTCACACAAATGCTGTAAGAAGAGTGGGATACAGACTTGAAACACTTTGCCACCTGCAACTACACTTCTAAATTCAAAATTTAAATTTATGCTGGATCTTTAATTTGGACTTCAAATTTAGTTGAACAGATGCAAATTTTACTTTAGGCCTCAGACAATTAAACGGGCAAATTGCCCACAAATCATGCAGAAGAAAAACCTTGAAGTAAAACACTCTGCTCAACAAACATCTTAAAACTGAATGCTATTTTCTCTTCAGACTGTTTCAGATCCATCTATGCTCTGGAGCAACCTCTGGAAATACTTTTGCCTTGAGGTAAGTACTATATACACAATCAGTAACACAAAGGATTTTTTTAAAGCGAAGCAGAACAATAGTAATGGTGTAAAAAATGCACCTCTAGTATATTATTTGAAGTAGATGATACAAAATACATGAAAGGAGTTTCACAGAAGAAGCTGGCACCTAGGCAGAGTTCTGCTGCACCTGATATAACTGCTGCTGTTGGATTTGGCTGAGGATGTTGCTGGATTAAGAAGTCAGTCTGGATATTTTATATTCTGACCAGAATTCAAATTTAAATCCAGCTTAATGAGCATGATGCATCCACAAGGCCAAGGAGAACATTCTGTCGGCTGAGAGTCCAAGAAATTTTAATGACTGTAATTAGAAAGTCAACAGGTCAGAAGTCTCTCAGCAGGGCTGGAGTCACATACATCAGTTGTGTGATCACAATTTGGTCAAGCTCAGCACTGCCATGTTGAGTTACTTTGGCTACACTGTAAAATATTTCATGGGAAGGATATTCAAAACAGTTTCACCAGAAAAATGAGTCCATGCTGATACAGAACTGACTGTTTTTTAGGCAAAATGACACGTTCCTGGGTCTGCAACAATTTTTCTGTCCTAAATAGTACAAAGTGTAAAAATTAAGCTCTTGTGACAGGATTTTCCATAAAATATAACTGTTTTCTAAAAGGGAGGTGAAACATCCAATAGACTGAAAAACATATTGGCTAGAGTGTTAGATAATAACTTGCAGTCAAGCTTAACCAACTTCTAGCAATATCTCAGACCTACCCACAAAGCGGATGCTGACAGTGACAGAACTTACATAGTATAAAGCTCCTAAAGCTAATACAAACATCTGGTTTTGACATTAAAGATTTTGGTAAGCTTTTGCTGCCAAGTAGCCATCCAAAGGGGAAAAGGATTCAACTAGATGTACAACTGTGAACTGGGATTTAATTAACTAGCAACCAGTGTCACCCCCCAACACACACCCCCACGTCCTATTGCTCAGTATGGAACAAAACCAGTGAACCACTTCAGTCCTGAGAATTCCTTGAGCATGTAGGTGCAAGCCTTGTAACTACAGAGAGAAGAACAGGAAAATGGAATCCTCTTTCCAAAACATCCTCCAAAATTACCCACATCAGAATATAGACTCAAAACAAGAGCCTGGATACTGATTATCCTCAATTCCTATGGTACATGCAGCAAAAGCTATATCTGAACCCAAACACACTGACTTCTGAGCATGTTCAAAAGCAGGATTTTCCCCTCACATACTCTAAATAGAAAGAACAACTTAGGAAAAAAAGAAATTAAAATTACTTTCCTAGCTCATCGATGGAACAAAATTGAAGGAAGATAGGAATTTTATTCAACTATTGCACACTTTATACCAAACTGATGAGCTCTTAGGGATAGACGCTACCTTCTGGGTCTAAGAGTAAGAGGGCTGGGAAAACCACAAATGAAGATAGACTCCAAAAGAACCTATTTCAAGACCTGGTATCATCTTTTCCTTTCCCCTGCCTTTGAAAAAGTCGCCTTTGTTCTATAGCACATCCATAAATAAGAGCTATGGACCAAAGCATTTTCAACCACCTACAAGCTCCCAGGTACACTCAGGCTGTGAGCTTCAAAGCTCTAGGTCTAAATCACACAGGTACATACATTTTTTCCTGGCACTGGAGATGCTTCAATCCGAATGTGTGATTAGCAATCCAGAACTAATGTCAGTGTGTACCAACAAGTAATTCATATAGAAGGTCACTATGAATAGACTCCTGTGGAGTTCCATAGACTCCTTATTACCTTTGTGGTTTCAGAAAGCAATCACAAAAAGGGCATAATTCTGATTTATTGATATTTGTTTTGATGCCTTCCATGACATTCTAGCATCCTAGGAATGAGGTGAGAGTTGGATAAATCAGCTTAAAAAAAAAAAAAAAAAAAAAAAAAAGGCAGAGAAAAGAATGCATATAAGTGGACACCAGATAGATACCCTTGGAAAAAGCATCTGGTATCAATGACTTGATAGCATCACTTTCTGTGTCCTGTTGTTTAATCCCCTGTCTTCATCTTTCTTGTTGCCATTGGTACCTCTGCAATGGCAAATCTGGTTTGGCTGATTTATGATGGCGTTAGACTGATAACAGATGAGATCACAAAGTAAATGTTGAGCATCAAATTTACTTTAGTGCTCTGCTTAGCTGCATTCTTTCCATTACGTGCCAACCTATTTGCAGAGAGAAAACTCTGTGCGGCTGACCATGGGAAAAAACATCCTGTTTCACCAGAGCTGGCTTGAAGAAAATTGTCTAAAACATTTCTGCTGAACTAAACAGCTACAATGTCAGCTTTAAAAAAAAATACGGAAGAAAAGAGGAAAAAAGTTCAAGCTGGCTAAGTCTTGTTAAAATAGCAATGGAAACAAGGGGACTTTGAAGTTTAGCGTGGGATGACAACAGATATTAATACCTGGAAAAAAAGCCTAGCACTTATTCTGAGCTCCACCTCAAGTCACTTAGCTGATTACAGATGTATTCATTACCTACATATAATCTACATATACAGGTATGTGTATGTAGATTATATATAAATAATGAATATAATACAATGAATATAATATATATATAAAATGCATATATAATCTACATATACATGTGAGTGAAAAAGATAAAACAAATTTTGCTGAAGTAACTAGGCTTCACCACATGACACAGCACTGACTGCAGTGTGGGCCCTTCTATGGATGCTTTGTGCAAAAATCTGTAATAACTCCTCGTGCCATGTGAACAGGCCATCTCTGCTAGCTTACTTCTTTTGGAAGAGGCCTGGCCACTCCAGAAGTGCTGCTGGCATCGAGGGCACTGAGATTTTAGTGGTGCCTGTCTCACAGGTGCTCTGTTAGGAGATAGGCATTCCTACTTCGAAAGACAACACAGAAAGAACAACCGTGCAGTTATGGAGTTTGACAAACATCAAAAGCACCTGTATTGGAACAGTCCCTCTTACCTGATACATCCAGGTGTTCCAGGTTTGGGCACAGTGACACAACATCAAAGACGGCCTCATTGGAGATGTTGTAACAGCCAGACACCTCCAGCCTCCGCAGTTCTGGACAGCACTGGGCAATGGTGTAGAGTCCTCTGTCTGTGAGCCGCCTGCAGCCACTAACAATTACCGTCTCCAACATGAGACATACGTTGGGAGTATCCTGACAAAGCCTCCGGGTCAGCACTTTGAGAGCCCTGTCGACATTGATTGTCTCACCAGTCAGGCAAATCGTCCTCCAAAGTCGTGGGTCCCAGGCCAGATTGTACCAGCGGCGGCACACGCGGGCACAGCGGCACAGCTGGTTGGTGGGCAGGAAGGAGAAGATCTGGATCATGGAGTGGTCGGGCAGCCGGTCTATGTTGGCCTGCTCCTTCTGGTGCTTGGATGCCAGCCGGATGAGAGGATGGGTGAGACGGGTGGGAGGTGGCGAATGGACCATGGCAACAGTTTCCCCAGTGACTGAGGATGAAGAGGTCGACGAACCTCTGCCATTTTGGAACCCAGGGGAATTCGGTGGGAATATTAACGCTGGACTGGGTGTGCTGAGCGTTCGCATGCTCAGGTCGGAATCTGGAAGATAGAACACACAATTTCAATGAGCACTGGACAAACACAGAGGTCTCTGCAGAGCACAGCACCCTTCCAGCCCACTTGCTAATGGAGTACGATGGACTTTGGAGTTTATTGGGGGTTAAGCTGTTACTTCTACCAGTCAGAGTGAGAAAATGTATTTTAAAAGCCATGCGAGCAAAGGAGATGATACAGTTCTGAGTCCTGAAGAGGAGACAGCAGTGGAAGGATTTTTTAAAATCCAAGATTTTTTATTCTTTATACTCTTAATTAAACACTGAATTGAATTATTATGTTTGAGTCACAGGCTTTTTTTTTTTTTTTTTTTGGCAGAAAGTAACTGTCCATAACCTTGACACAGCTGTGAGCTCTTAGGGGCAGAGAATGCTGTGGTCCTTCATCTCTCAGCTCCTTCAGCCTCATTCACCAAGAGGCCAAAATAGAGCTCACAAGGCAAATGCCACTTCCTTCACCAGATTTGGGCAGATAGGAAAAGCTCAACTCCATACACTTATTTTCAAAGTGTCATCAGAGAAATTAATTTCTCAGTAAAGCAAACTGAAACTCAAAAGTTCATCCAAGAGCCCAGTGACTAGTTCTTCATGTGCACGCAAAAAACACTCCTTTCCAATGGACTAAAGTGAACTTCAGCTGGGGGAAAAAAAAAAAAAAAAAGCCCAGAAAAGTAACTAATGAAGAAACAGCATGCCTGGAAACTTGTTGGAGAATTGTTATACAATATTTACACACTTATTGCTAGAGCTATTTGTCACACTGGAAGCGGTCAATTCAACTCCCCAAAGCAATTTGCTACTTCTTTACCTTTTTTAGTTCATTTTAGTTACCAAAATCAGGCACAAAAATTGAGGTTTTTTTTTTTTGCTAATAAGAAAGATTACCTTTGCTGTGAGGTTATTTCAACTGTTTTCCTTGTGTGCTGACATTGTCTGCAAGTAATTTCCACTCCTGCCCCCAGTTTCTCCAAGCAGACCAAGCAAAAGACTGGAAGACAGCTAAGCTATAACTTTGATAGTCAAGCAAATGCCATGGGCAATACAGTTAGAGGCTCTGAGGATATTTTAGCAGTATGCTACACAAGATACAACCAGTGTCTGAGAGATGCATGCTGCTGCTGAGCACATTCCCTCCACCTCAGTACTGATCTCCACAGAAATTTTTCATAGAGCAAAGCATCGCCCAGAAATGAATACAGTAACCACAATTTAGTGACCAGCAGAATAAAAAATTTTGCAGACAGGCAATGTTTTTAGAGGACCAAGCTTTTCTCCATATCACATCTCCTGCTGTCACATCAATGTTCAGGCCTTTCAGGGACGTGTACAAAGGCAGTCCCTTAAGTAACACTGACTCTGCAGCTGCGTGACTGTGACAGCACAGATAAGGGCTAAGCAAGATACAGCCAGAAATGCATTCAATAAACATATCCACACCTGAATTTGGGCTGAGTTTTTAAATTAAGTACATTTTTTGTGAATTTGATCGTTACACATAAATTTCCCTGTCAAGCTTTTACTTAGCCCAGCACAGGCCTGCTCTGATCTCACTACCTATAACAACAACAACCACAGGCCTGTATTTTCACAGTGTGTCTGCAAGCAAAAGAGGCACAAATATTTAGCTGAAGAACCCAAGACACAAAGTCCAATGGCTTGCTTAAGATCACCTAATTGAGCTGCAGAGACATCAAAATCATCTTCTCACACTGTGGAGAAAAAAACCTGTATTACCCAGCTCCTTTCCTTCTTCCTCTTCTGCATCTTGTTTTACTTAGAAATTCACTGTTTCAGCAAATGAAAGGAAGGAACATTTTCACCAAGGTTTTTGAGTCCGTGCTATGGCTATGTGGTACTAACACAGGTATTTGTGTATTTATGAGCAAGGACAGTATCTTCATGCTGAGTAGGTTTTGCAGACACTTTGTTCCCTTTGTGACCTCCTAATACCCACCCTGGCAGCTTTTGCAAATAATTGCATCGAAGAGTGTTAATTGGTAAGCATCTGGTATATGCTGGTATTTTAAAAATTATATTTACAGCCGGAGAGAAAAAAACCAACCAGCAGCAGCCAGGCTCCTGCAGACAAGCACTGCCTCCACAGGCCTCTTAAGCAACAGTCCCTGAGATTAATTTTTGCAAGGACTTACCATATGTTTGACCTCCCTCACATTATCACCAAAACCAGTGACAGTGCCTGAAGCTAAACATGTGCAGAATATGTGGAAAAGCCTTTACTTTTTGCTCCTTTTTTGAGATATTAATACCAGAATGTTTCTAACATAAAAGAATATACACTTTTTTCCAAGTGCTGGATGTACCTTCTACTATTACATGTATATGATAGCGTCAATTCTTTTTGCTTTACTTCTTCAATTGCTTTGGGCCTTTTCCTTATTTGATTGTTGGTTGTTTGTTTTACACAAACCAGAATGAAAAGGAAAACAAAACGATATAAATAAAAAACCACAGAAGAAAAACTTGTTTCTATTACACAAAATAGAATTAAAATCAAAAGCAAAAAGTTTAAATTATTAACATCTGATTTAAACAATTTTTAGTCCTGTGGGAATGACTAGCTTCTGTAAGACACAGTGTATTTGGAAAACAAATATTTTTAGTCAGTTATTGCTAAAAACACCTTAAAATTTCTGTAGGGTCTTCGTTAGTTCTACGGTCTTCGTTAGTTTCCATTTCTACTTAAGCATAAAAAAGCTTTTCATACTCCATGATTATCCCCCCTTCCCCTGTGAGCAATGGTCCAAGCTAATACGGCTAATCTCCACTGCTTTTGGATCAGAAGTGGCATTCCTTCATCACTCCTGGGCACTGTGAATAATCAATACCTTAGACATTCTGGGTGTGTAATGAATTACTAATATATGTTTTTTAACTTAGACTTCGAGGTAAAAAAGGCCTGACCTTCTGTTTTATGTGTATGCTCCGTGCTTTGTACTCTCTTAATTATCTCATTAGTATCGCAGTTCCAGATGTGCACCCTGTATTTCCGTTCCCTTAAATCCTGAAGGTGCATCATGTAAAACTTGGTCCATTCATTCTCAGGGCATGGACTTCCAGACAGACACATACACATCCACCCTGTCTCCCCACCACAAAGTACTGTGGAAAAAGACTGTAGTGGTGTCACTGTTTAAAAAAGTGAGTTGTGAGCACATTACTGCTCTGCTGAGCCCATAATGCAATATGCTCTCAGACAGGAATTTTGCTGGTATCTCGGCTGAACTCCACACAGAGCTATTCCTGCTTACTGTTCGATGTACACCCCTAAGGGGAAACAAAAAATAAAAAAATAGCAGGTGAGTCCAGAAGCCTTATTGCCAGGAAAAACTTGGAAAGCTTTTTGCTAGCATTCAAAACTTCAGCAAAACACTTGGTCTACTGTACATTTTCCAGACTTTTCTAATGTTGTTGGGAGGGGATTCCTGTAGCACTATCTCAACCTCTAGGAGTTTCCTTAGAATTTTATTCTTCACCATTTACTGAGTGCTAGTCAACAGGCTGGGGCAGTCTGAGAAAGAGCAACTTAATGACTGTGTAACATTAATAAACACAACCCTACAAGTACAAATGAAGTTGCTGATTACAGTTCTCAATACACATCTTTATACACACACATGCCCTCTACAAGCATTTTTCTTGTAAACTCAATTGCCTACAAGCCTGAAATACAACTTTAATTTTGGTGATCTTAAAAAGTAAAAGCAAACTAGAAAGCAACCTGCACTTCCCTCCCTACAACCTCTTTTGCCCCTTTGCCTCCAATCTTCTGTGTAAGACACTTTTTATTAAGGCTTTGATCAAGCCCTGAAAGTTGTTTGTTGATGTGGGACAAAATTTCTTAACAATCTTTAAAGAAATCTCAAAAGATGCGTGCCAGAAACAGAACCATAAAAGCTGACACAGAGGGAGAAAATGCACTAGAGTCAGTTTTCTTATTCCACTAGGAATCTGGTTTATTTCAAAGGATTTTTTCTCCCCATTTTATTTCCCAATTAATAGATACATATGGGAACAAAAAACCTTTAAACATGCAAGATTTATGCCAAGATCTAACCTCCATTCCTTCTGGCATCGACAATAATATGATTTCAGAACCAGAGAGAGAAAACAACATTATATTTCCATTACTCCAGCAATGCACACTAACATGGGACACTTGATGTCCAGATCCTAGCATGAACTTTTTAAGATTGAACCATTTTCCATGATTAAGGCATAACTCCATTAATTCACACCTTCCACTGTGGTATTGCGAATGAGTCTTTTGTGAAATGAATGCTATACTGAGTTCTTCAAGTTAACAGAATTAAAATGAAAATTTTGCAAATATCAATCAAGCTTCAGATTCTTATCTGACAACTGAAAAGGATCTGCCGTGTGGATCTCCTGTCACTACTGACATTTTTAGCAAAACTAAGGCAAGAAATAAACAAAACTGTGTTCAAGCTCTGAAAAAGTCAGTAGAGCTGAGAAAAATAAAAAGCAATTGTTATTTTTGTAAACATTAGCTGCAGAGTAATGTGCGCAAGAAGCATTTACACAGCGTGCCAAAACCTCCTTGACTCAGCATCTTTTCAGTAAGTGTTGTGTAAATATTACATAGTTTATTAAGTGCAATGTGGGTGTAGACTTCACATTTTTACCACAATACCATCAACCTTAGGTATGCCAAGCATGCCAAGGAAGTATTCCTTTTACGGAGACTGGGGAAAATGGGAACTTAATGGTTGTAGCAGCTACAACCAACAGTGCAAAGGGGAACAAGGGTTTCTACTGGGGACACAATGTGGCTGATTCAAGAAGAGACTTGTGAATTTGACAGATTTCAAATATGGCTATGTGCCTTAGATGAGAATAGAAAAAGGAGTTAGCTAGGACAGCAGGCTACAACCCAGCCATTTTCTTTCCAAGGCCTTGGGTATGGACAAAGTTCCAGAAAAAGTGCTACCTACAAAAAATAAAGAG